TAGATCCACGCAGCATAGCGCCCGAAGTCTTCAAGGTGGACAAAGGGAATGGCACCTTGACCAAGCGGTAGCTTGAAACTGTAAACATCGTCGCTGCCTCTTTCTGGGAGGAGGAGCTCCCAAAGCATCTCAATATAGGGTCCCGAATTCTACACATAAACTTACGTCAGCTGCCGCAAGAATGTCCTCTCCCAAGACAAAATGTCCTTCGTAGAACAGAAATACTTACAATAACGGTCCAAGCCATTGGACTAGTCGGTTGAGAACGCATCCACTCTGGCGCAGGCAGTCAGCAACGAGCGTGCTTGAGGTCAAATAGCAGCTGTTCCATACCTGTGACTCTTGCTTTCCCTTCATAATGCCCCACATAGAACTTTGGATCATATCCAGTCTTCTTGCCATTGTAATCTAGGCCGCTCCAGATCAGATGTTTAACGCCAGCTCTGGCAGACAATTCAAACAGCCGAATCCCCCAATAGGTTTCGGCTTGTTCTCCAAGCGCGAAACCATCGGTGTTGATAAAGGCGTAGTCAGATCGTTGAGCAGCTTGATAGAATGCGTCAACATCGTACCCGAATCCTGCATTGTTTTGGACAAGCTCGACATTGGGAAGGCCGGCGATCGCCTGGGCGGCAGGCGATGTAGTGCTACGCGTCAAGGCGAGAATTTTGTATTCGTTTGTGGAAGAGAGGGTCTTTATGATGGCACCCCCTTGGGCGCCGGTTGCGCCAACGAAGACGATAGTCTTCATGTTCGTATCAATTGAGAGATGTGAAAGTCCTAGATCAATAAGGTCTGCGGCTCTTGAATAACGAGCTGAGGCATTAGGAGGAGTATTCAACCTTTTATATTTGGACACCGTGTTGGGCGGCAATGCTGTTGACCCGACCCCGTGCACGAAATCTGGCGATCGACGATGAGTAACTGATCTCGTACCAAAGGCAGACATATTTGAGTGACCAGACATCAGCACAGCGTACAGACGGGATCTCTGGAAGGTTGTTATCACACAAGCAGAAGCACTGCGACATCGTACCACGCCAGTCAAGCTTTCCACCAAGTTAGTCGCGAATAGCAGAAGATCAGAGAACCGTATAGCACCATGACTCGGCCGACGAATGAAAGAATGTCATTTCATGATTTCCTAGCAGTGGCGCCCAGTAAATTGGTAATGTATGGCTCAAGCGTTAGATGTAGCTTCACAATTGGTCGTTGTTGCGGCCGGAGCTGTTAAGTAATCAGGTCGATGGCAATAAGTGGAAGAGCCATAAAGATAATCATTTCGCATTTTCGTACTCGAGATACCCCTGGCCAGTGTGATTATTTGAAGTCACGGAAGACTGTTCTTGTATTGTACTAGGTTCAGGGACTTAGGCCTGAGCAGTGCTTTTCGGGCTTCAGGCTTCGGGCTTCAGACACCAGGATGGATGTTTACTCAGCTTCTCTAATTCAGCTCGAGGCAGGGCTGAAGGAGGCACAATGACGTCGTCAAGCGCCAGGCGATACATCAAAAGAGTCATCAGTACTATACCTTGGCTTGCGGAAAACTATTACGAAACTGGGAAACATGTTGAACCAGCTAGAGAATACATGGAAGGGCAAAAAGAAATGGACTGATAGAAACAAGTGGAGAGCACCCAGAGAGGAAGTGGAGGGGATGCTGACACATCTGTCAGGTGACTTCGCGTTTCCCTCGGAGCGCGTCGCCTACGCACGTCGTGTTTCGTGTTTCGCGGGGCAGAGCCACTTTTTGTTGACTGCGGAGGGCGATCCATCCCACCCTCCAACAACTACTCGGTACCATCGTCGTGTATCTCGATCCTACACCCCTGAAAGACGGTTTGAGCATATGGTCGGACGCACCTTTGTCTAGAACAAAAAGTCGCGTTGAACACAAAGCGACCGCCGTGGGACGGCGTGATGGATGCGTTGGGTGGAAACAGTGAGATCCCCAATCCCAGCATGGCAAACAATTCTCAAAATCCACGTTATATTCTACCTGTCAACCCTGTTCCCGCACAGCTGTCTGTCGCTTCCAAGACCCTTCTCGCTCAATGTTGCCGCTGACGGACGCCATGCTGATTGAAAGTGACGGGAAAGCCCTGCAGCGTCCGATCCTATCGCCCGACGGCAGATCGTTGGCAGTTATTGCACCGGACGAACGAATACATATTATCGATCTGTGTGAAGCAGCCAAAGGACGGAGATTCATTCATGGACTCAAGCTTCCCAGACCAGAGCGCGCTTTCCTGCGAGGTTGCACCATCCTCCGTTGGTCACCGGAGACCATACTTAGCCCTGAAAGCGAGGCTGCAGAAGAAATCCTATCCGCCACATCATCCGAGTGTGACTATGGAAGATCCTGGCTGCTTTTGTCAGATACCAAACGCCTGATTGCTCTAAGCACAGACATCAGAGCGCCGAGGATGATGTCCGAGATCGACGATGAGACTGGCGCAAAGTCCAATATCCTTGCGGATTACAATCTAGGGGGCCAGCTTGGAAAAGCCAGTCTCGTAGATTTCGTCTTCAACCACAGACACGCACTAGTCATGTTTGAGTTTGGCTCAATTGCAGCCGTTCTTTCTCTGACCAGACCTCAACGAAATGAAATTCCCCATATCAAGTTTCCAGATATGAGAAGTCTGGCAAAGTCGCCGGATTCCAGGTATTTTGCCCTGCTCCGGCGCGACAAAGCACAAGACCGAGTGACGGTGTTTGAACTGGGAGACGACAATCAAGTCATATACAAATCCTTCGATTGCAACACTTCAGATGCCCAGGACGTGACATGGTGCCCGACTGGTCAACCACTTCTGGCTGTACGGGACTCGTCTACCTATGGTGTTAAAGTCTCGTTCATGACCGCCGAAGGCCATACACTCAGACAACTGGAAATCAAACCTTCGGTATTCCAATGGGATCTCAATCTTGCTCCCGTCAATGAAGTCGAGGGTGTGGGTCTCACCTTCTGGAGTTGGACCAGGGCAAACAGACACAACAACGCTCTTACACTCCAAGCGCTGGCAAATGGGCATAAGCAGGTGCTTGTGAGATACCAGTCCTCCAACAGTATGGGTGCTCGTATCCGAACGAAACTCGTGCATCCAGACGTGATCAACGGTGCAACAACATTTGCATGGTTGGAGTCTGGTAGATCGACGACCGAGAATTCTCCAACGTTCGCAAGACAGTCGGGAACTTTCGAGGTAGCGAGCACATTGTCTAACACCGACTCATCTTCGCAGCCTCGTCATGCCTCTCATTCTCAGTCCTCGGCACAAGAAGTCGACCAAGTCGACCTGGTAGAATTGAACTCAACTCATACGCTGCTTGCCACGCGGCTACGGACCTCTCCACGAACATTGTTCATCTGGAATGCACACAAAACCGCAAATCCCCTCGCCGTCGTGATTTTCGCACATTCCATCCGTCAAGTCCACTTCCATCCTTACCTTCCGCATGTCCTCATCATCCTGACAGCGTCAAAACTACCAAGACTATATGCTTGGTATCACCATACCCTGCCTCCCTCGGCCGGTCTGCTTCCGATCGACGTAAGCGGATCACCAGACTTTTGGGGAGCTTGGTTGCCGGGATGCATCACGCATAATGGCAACAATGACCGGTGTCCATTTCTCTTTACCTCGAGCACCGCATTCGAAGCTGGCTATTTGTCTACCCGCGAGGGACAGCTGGTTTTCGAAAGCATCTTGCGTGGTCCCCCACTTTCCGGAGACTTGACAATGAACCTAGGTGATGACGAGTCAACCACGGAGGTGATAGAGACACCGAGTCGACCCAGCAAGCAGAAAGCCAAAGAACCCGAAAACGGAACCGCGAAGAAGAAGAGGGCCCGCTTTGATGTTCCCCCGAATCCAAAGACTGACTGGGTGGATGATCCAATACATGCACAGGCCGGGTACGCTTACGCCTGGTGATATTCTATTGGTTGTTTTCAGCCCGTTCGTTTGAAAACAATAGAGCCAACCTGAGAGAGGCTTCTGTAAATTTGCTACTCGGTTTGTGGTATGGTGACTGCGGTTCACGTCGACTCAACCTAATATTGGCGACCGCCTGATGGCTCCGGTACGCCGCTGGCCTCAGTAAGATGGGCATGAATGAGATGTAAGAGTACAGGCGTCAGGGAGAGGTGATAGAACTCGAAACAAGGAGACAACCAGAAGACTATGGTCAGACTGTGCAATTGGATAGAAAGGAGAACGGAATTGTGCCTCTATCATCACGACGAAATGATTAGGTGTTCGACAGGCACCTTCAAAATGGACGAAGATGTTGGGAACAGGAAACGGACAAGAAGGAGAGAAGGGAGCGTTCTTTGTTTCTTAGACCCACGAAATGTGCAGTATGCACCCATGTAAAGTAGACACGAGCAGTTCGGATCAGAGTACGACCTCTCAGGTGCGTTATTATCATTCGTCTACCCATTTCTTTTCGGCTCTTCAGCTCTATCGCTCTGCGATTCAACACTCCCTCGCCCGGTCTGATCTAGAGGCGTCGAGTCACTCGCTACCTCAAAGAATCAGGGAGATACAGATCGGAGAGAGGAGAGAGGAAGACAGAAGAGAGCCACCAAGGGCTAGATATAGCCACCTAGGTACCTACCTACCTATCTACCTACTTAGCTATGTAGGTCCTGTGGTGAGCCACCTGATTGAAGAGACAGTCGATCGGCGGTAGTATACCTCCACGGCCCATGGGCAGGGGCTTCTATAGTACATAGGGACCCGTGCCGCGTGTACGGAGGCAGGTAATGTATATTAGTAGAGGGAGAAGGAGAAGGAGAAAGGAGACGTCGAATACCTAATATTGATTAGGATTATGTATTCATTCTTATCCAAAAGAGCTTTGAATCCAGGTCTATGTAGGTCGTCTTTTGCTGTTGCGCGGTGCCTTGAATCGTCCAAACGACACAATTCCCCTTACATATGTACCTACCTGCCTGCCTAGACAGAGAGGTGTGTGACGCCTTACACGCCTCATGAACCTTGCTCAATCTGCCCGGCCAACTGGGCAGGCTGGTCGAGACCCGGCGCGCTGACCAAGCCGCCCTTGCTGCCGCCGTCGACGATGTTCTGGCCACACTGGACCTTCCAGTTCTTGGGGACGTAGCCGTCGGCGACGCGCTTAAAGGCCTCGAACGTGCACAGCGACTCGTCGCCGCGGTAGTTGTTGCCCGGCTGCGCGCAGGCCGGGATCTTCATGACGCGGTCGTTGTACCGGATCCGCACGTAGTAGCCGTCCAGACGGCGCTTTTGGGACTCGGACAGCTCCGCGTGGGGGGTGCGCGCGATCAGGTCCTTGGGCGGCACCGAGGGGGAGAGCGTGGACGAGCGGGACAGGGACGGCGTGGAGAGCGGGCTCGAAGACGACGAGGCCGACGACGCGTCTCTCGAGCCGCTAAAGCTCCCGTTGCTGGTCGGCGATCGCAGCCCCAGGAAGGAGGCGAAGAATCCTGGTGTCGCGGCCTGGCTCTTGGGTTCGGTGCTCGCCGGTGTGGTGGGCGTGAGGAAGTCTGCGTCGGGCGAATGTCCCTTGGCCTCATCTCCAGGGTCCTTCTCCCTGAAAAGCTCAAAGGCGATGTGACTCGTATAGGGCGGCCATTTCTCCCCGCCAAAGGCCCCCAGACTCGTCAGGACGCCCGCCAACGTCGTGTCGTGACAGCCGCTCAGCGCGAACCTGATGCCCGTCTCACCGCCGCGACCCATGCCCAACTGTCCATTCTCGCCTCCGATCTCGTTGATCGAGAGACCCGCGCCCTCGATCTTCGAGGTCATCCGCTCCACGATATCGCCAATCAGGCCCCCTATGCCCAACATTCGATACTCGCGGTTCTCGTTGTACCCGGAAAACCACTCCTCCACGCCGATGCGGTCGATGATCTCGCGGGCGCGGGTGTCGTAGAACTCCTTGGGGAGACGGGTCTCGGGCCCGTGGGCGAGAGTCGAGTTTATGGTGTCCATGATCCCCGAGAGACGCGGGTGCGAGTCGACCGCGATCTTCTTGTCGCTGTTCTCGGGCATCCATTTCCCCATCAGCTTCGTCAGGTATTTCATGTCGTCCGAGTCGTTCCACCGGTCGGCCGTGCGTTGGGCGAATGCCCGGCTCAACTGCGCAAATCTTCGACAGTTGCCGTCGTTGGGAAACAGCGTCTCGTCGGCCGGAGTGCGTGTCACGATCGTCGGTGGTGGGAACGCCGCCGTGCGGGACGTCAGAGGGTACATGCCCCAGAAGGTCTGCTGGACCGACTCCAGCGCGCGGGGAAGAGGCGTCGAGCGCAGGTAGATCAGGTCGGCGTTGGCGATGAGGGAGGGCATGAACCGGAGCTGGTCCACGTACAGGGTGCGCAGACGCGTACCGAGCGTGTACGTCGATTGCCGACCAGCGTCGGTGAGTTCGCCTAGTTGACTGTATCCCAGCAGTAAGTCTGTGGAAGCTCTTATCTTGGGTGTGGGTGTGTTGTATCAACTCCGCAAAGGATTCTTGTATTCATACCAGACCCCGTCAACCTGTCCCTTGGGTCCCGCCGCGATGACCGGCCCATCATCCTCGCCAAACCGCTCGAGTCTTCTCCGCCACTGTAGAGAGTTCCACTGTGACACGTCTTGCGGGGTCATGGCGACGGAGCGCAGGCGTTGCGCCGCATTACAGTAGGGCCAGTACGCTGGCAATCCTGCCTGTGGTTTGTGGCCCCGCGGCGGTCAGCACATGCCACCACTCCCTAAGTGTCCCGCGAACACCCCCTCGAGCAAAGAGGTACGGGGGATGTGCTATGATGGACTCACGTTTCCAAATCTCGCTGAGACGGGAGCGCGTTCTCCATGACGTAGGAGGACTTGGACGAGGCGCAATTCGAGGTCTTTGGGGTAGAGTTTGTCGAGCTCGTCCTGCGTGTACGGTGGGCGGAACTGGATCGAGGTCATGGTTGTAAGGGGGTGACTACACTGCGTGTAGCGGAAAATCGAGGGCTATCATGGGTATGAAGGAGAAAAAGGACATGGTCAAAGACATTTGGGAGATAATAATATCGAAATGTCGGGCACTAGAAGGATTGGGGAAACTAGTTTTACTCGGTTGTATCGATCTGGAAGTCAGAGTCCGGCATCCATCCCCATGCACGTTCGGCTGTGGTGCCTGATTCTGATACGCAAGCGAAGATCCAAATAACGTGCTTTCGGCATCAGTTGCAGGGCATCATTCTACATAATAAAAGATTCTGTTTCAGCAGGCAAGGGTATCTGTATCCTGATTCTCTAGCCCCAAAAGCCATTCGTATCGTCATCTTTGCAGTCGCTATCAAATGTGTAAATCATTCATCCTCCGGCCTACGCCCTGGGTCTCATCAATGGGGCTCACAGGGTTGCTTCCAAAGGGACCGCTCGTCGGGTACGATGAACCCCCATTCGGTGCTGTCGCGCCAGTAGTCGGACCTCCTCCATGCATCGTGAAATGTTCTGCCGAAGATTCTTGTCGGTGTACATAACTCGGTGTTGGTTGATACGCTGCATTGTAAGGACCAGGACGGTGCTGATCGCTCGGCAACTCTTGTGGGTACTGGTTCGTAGCATGTTGCTGCGGCTGATGAGGCGAGGGTGTGTTCTGATTTCTATCAAAAAGCGCATTGGATCTCGCCTGTGGTTGCGGAGATCCATATGCATCGTCGTCAAAAGGGTTGTCGGCGACGCCGTAGTCGGCACTGGATGAATAGGCGTGTGATTGTGGACGAACACGGGTCGGCACCGGAGGCGGCTGCTCGGGAGCGGCAAAGGCAGAAGACAAAGCGGCGGCATTGGAGAAGTCATAGGGATTCTGAGTTGTCTGTGGCGGCGGAATTTGTGGTGCTCCCATTTTACTTGGGGGAGGCCCCGGAGGCGGCGCATATAGCTCTTCCTCCTCTCTCCGCAGCGGACTCACGGGTGTAGGGATAGTGTTCTGTCGACGAGGAGGCGAGGAAGAGTACGGTCCATGTTCCGGCGGCAGCGACTGAGGCTGTGATGTCTGGGAATAGACATTCTGACCTGGAACATGCTGTTGAGGTGTGAACATGGGGTTCTGCTGAGGCTCTGTTTGCGCTTGAGGGCTTGGTGTTGCCAATCCAGTCGCCTTGCGGGCCTGCAGGACCGCTCTTTGATGTTTGGACATGGCTATGTTCAGTTGGTCATTGGTTTCGATCAGAGTCAACATCGTGTCTGGGTCCGGCGCGGGATTCTGGGCGTTCAAATACGACTGAATGCTCCTTTGCATCGTTTTAGCTCGATCTGCAAACTCTTTGACCAGATCATTTGCCAGTAACTCTGCCTGAGGAGTAGACTGGACGGTCTGGACTAGTAGTCGAGCTGTCGTCTTTGCTTCTTCAATCCGTCCGGCCAACTCTTCGGCTGGTGGAAGGGTGTCTCGTCGTCGATGCTGTTGCTGGGGATAATGGCCGGCGTAGGCGCCAGGGATTTGAGCCTGCTATTGTGACAATGATCAGTCTTTGTCAAGCACCCAGACGTAGAGACGGCGCAGCTTACCGGAGGGCGCAATGCATTTCGCTTTCCTTTCTCCTTCCTCCACATCTCCATGAGCGGCCCCAGGCTGTCATTTCCAGGCGCCTTTTCCACCTCAAAATAGTCCAATGTTTCTCTGAGTATCTGCTGAACGCTGGTGTCCTTGCCTTCCCGCAAAAGCTCTTTGACGGTTGCGACGAATTTGTGATCGAAATTCTGGGTGAAGGCTCTGGCCGGGTTGTCGGTCAGGATGCGGGAGAGCATGACGGCGTTGTACTGGGCATATCCTTTCTGGTAGTTCTCTTTGCTGAGATATCGTCGAATGGTCGCCGCAGCCTCCTTCGCCGCGGTGGGACTGGATTCGGCCGCATCAACAATGGCAGGCAGGTGGAGGTATTCTTCGCCGGCGGCATCGGAATTGGGGGCGCCTGATTCACAAAATGCTGTCTGGACATGGGCCTCAGCTGACGATCGGTGACAAGATGGAAGTTGTAGTTAACTCACGACTTCGCGGACCACAACCGCCTCGGGGGAGTCGCCTTGTGGCAGAACAAACGTGCTGCTCCCATTTCGCTCGGGACCTGGCGCAACGCCATCGTCAGCCACCAACAGCACCAAACGAGGTGGGGGAGGTTATCGCGCGCATACTCGAGCTCTTCTTCTTGATATTTCCCAGAAACTTCTTCATCGCGGCGGTCGAGCTCCAAGTCAAATCCCACCGCCTGATTCTCTGTATTCGTCGAGACTTGGCTGCGGTGTGCGAGTATGGGTTGCGACGAAGGTGGAGGACTCGTAGGTCAGGCTGCGGCAATAGGCAGCGTCTGAAATTATTATGCTTTCGTGGCCGCCAGTATGCAGGCTGGTGGGCTGAAATATAGGTAACGCAGTATGTAAGAAGTCGTTGGGCCGGATCGGCGCAGAAGCAACTACTGCAGCTCCCAGGGTCCTTGCGTTGTTTGTCCGGAGGCTCGGGGCGCAAATCGCAGAAACCTGGAGGATGTGTGGAGAAAACAAGAGCAAGGGAGCAAGCAGCAGGAGAAGAGGATGGGAAATTCAGAGGGAGATTTTTGGGTTCTGGGGAATGCGATGCATCTTCGTATCTAATTTATTTATCTGCCCTTTATTAAAAGTTGTGATAAGATGGCAAAAAGCTATTATGGCAGGCCGCGTCTGTCTCTCTCTCTCTCTTGGTCACTCTCCCCCTTGGGTGTCTGCCGTCTTCCCCACGACCCGGTCTTTACTCGTAGAACAAACGAAATTGACGGGAGTCCTTTACCCTGGCGCTGGCGTGCACTGGTCAGCTGCGCACTTTTGGCTTCTTGGAAGCTTGGGCGCTTGCACAACCGCTTCGTCAGCCATCTTTGTTCCGCTTCCGAAGGGGACGCCATCTTGAATTCTTCACAGGCATTTCAAGCACTCGACTCGACATCGTTGCGCAGCGTTGTACTCGGTGGTATTCCTCCTACACCCTCGGGGCCTCCTCACCCAATCCCCCTTGCGTGGCATGATACACGTGGAACGAGGCTGTGTCAAGCGCGCCCCTCCCTAAGAGCCGCCTAGAGAGTTTCAACTCCGGAGTTCCTCCACCATCTATGCCTTCTATGCGTAAGCATTGCATCGTCACTCTCGCCACCTAGTTGGCCACTCGCAGAAATGATCCACCGAGGGAGGGCGAGGTCCAGGTGACAAAGACATACCGAGGAATATACGAGGTACATTGACATGTTTGCAAGAAGCATTGCAGTTGTAATAATGGCGATTTACAAGTTCATAAGTTTGTGGCAGTCTTTCTTCCCTCCAGCGCTAAGGCCAGAGCATTCTTACGAAATGCTTGAAGAGGCAGAGACCATCTTTCATCCTTTCATATGTATTCCTATCCTCAACCTGGTCCTTTACAGTTACCACGTAAAACTCTCCTCATTCAACTCCAAATTGCCCTGATGTATCCTGTCCCTCACTGCCGCTCGCACCTCGTCGGCCAACGCACCCGGGCCGCAAACACTTACCATGACCGCACCAACCCTTTCCGGAATCACCTCGTCTAGCACGGCTCCAGGATCGGCCCTGCCCTGGACAATCTGCATGGTGGGCTTGCTTTTGCTATGATTGATCGCCCTCGTCGGCTTGCTCACATGCACTCTGATCATGAGAACTTCTCGTCGGCCTTCCATATGTAAGATCTCGTTCATCCAAGGCTTCACCCACTCCATACACTCGGTGTCGCGGATTGACCAGACAAGCACAATCTTACGAGTCGCCACGGTCTGCGCCCGTGCTCCTGCTAGGAGGTGCCGGATCTGAATGAGATGATGGGTGATGCCACCACCCCCTGCGAACATGACAACTGTGCCGTAACTGACGAGCGAGTCGTGGCCCGCATAGGGGCCTTCCAGAAATCCACGGAGTTCAAGCTTACGCCCAGGAGCAGCGCGAGCCTTCTCATAGAGTTGCCTCGTCATGCCAGTGCGTGCAACCGTGATCAGCGAGACGGTCGTGGGTGCTTTGGACGGCGACTTGAAGATGGATTGGCTTTCCAGAGAGCTCGGGGTCGATGGTCTTTGCAATTCAAAATTGTGGCCACAAACGGGGGGTTCCGACTCGACATTCGTCCATGCAACGGATAATGGATGTGACATCCACAGCGAGATAGATGGGAGATATGCATACATGTGACTGCCGGGCCGGATCGTGATACGCCGTGGCAATTGAAAGGTGACACGACAGGCATCACCTGGCAGAGCTTCCACATAGGCAGTTGTGGTGCCGCCCGACCGAGAGTAGTTCAGATATGCGAGAGTGCCCAAGCGCCAAAGTCTCTCCGTGAAGAAGAGAAGAATTGCCGTTAAGATCGAAGGATAGGCAGGCAGACGCATGATATCCAGATGAATATACACGCCGAGCAACGCCAGAAATGCCAGGCTCTGGTGAAGGTGAAGGAACGTCTCGTAGAAGGCGTGTCGGACGGGCGACAACGAATGCAGTGGCAGCAGGACTATCGCAATTAGTCCTAGGAGTCCATAGTAGAGGAAGGGAGCACCTCGGAAGATTCTGATTGTTGCTTGATCTCCCTTGGCAAGCTTATACGCAGCCAGCCAGGCGAAGAAATGGATGGCCGATAAAGCGGCCACCAGCCTGCCGATCCATCGATGAAAGAGATTGAATGTGTCAAAGCTGACCCTCAGGAGTGGTATCGCGATGTTGTTTCTGCTGGCAAGCACAATCAGGGGAATGAGGTTGACAGTGGCCAAGATGCCGCTTCGTCCACGTAGTTCGGCGTAGAGCGCCCCTCTCTGTGGATTCTTCCAGTCGAGTAACAGACAGTAAATCAAATTGGTGATGGCATAGGCGATGAGGAGGATGGAGTGGATGCGGCTGGGTAGCGTGCCATAGTTGACTGCACCGGATAGCTGGAACTCGCGATTGTGTCTTTTCTT